CGAAAGCGTTTTACTAAGCTTGTTTAGAATGTCCATATAGATCCTAAAGTCTTTGAGTCAAGGTGGAAAGTCCTTCTGAGGAAATTTAAATTACAAGACAAAAGATGGTTCAAAGACATGTACAAGGATCGAAAGCTTTGGATTCCAGCTTATTTTAAGGACATGCTACTACATGGTATGATGAAAACTACTTCAAAGTCTGAAAGTGCAAACTCATTTTTTAATAAATACTGTAACTCTGATAATTTGCTTATTTATTTCATGATGAACTACGACACCACAATTGGAAAGCAACGAAATGGTCAACAGAAACTAGAACATGATACAAAAAATGCAAATCATGAACTGACGCTTCCAGCTGGATTAGTAGAACATGTAGTTGCGGTTTACACTAAAACCGTTTTCTATGAGGTCAAAAAGGAAATATTTAAAGTTGCTTGGTACTGTTCTATTGACAGCGTTGAAATGATAGATGGGTGGCAAGTTGTTATGATTACACAAACGGATAAGAGCAAACAATTGAAGGTAAAATGCAAGGTATTATTCATATTTGACATCATATTCATTGATGATTACACAAATATATATTATCACTAGACGAATACCCGCGCGTTGCGCATAATAAAACAAGATATTTGAAATTTTTACAAATATATGTTTTTTAAATATATCAATGACATTGTTATTAGCTTTTATATAATAAATCTTATAATAAGTTGGTATAAACATTGTTTGTTTTGAATTATATGATAATGTAGATATCTTTTAAAATTGTATAATCCTAAGTGTCATAATGGCATCTACCTGCAGGCTACTTATGAATAAAATTAAATATAATATATGATTTAATGATATTTATAGTTGTTATGATTAATTAATTTTAAAAAGTCTATTTGCTTAAGATTTTAATTTCTATCATTGTAATTATTTAAAACATCAAACATTGTTTTTGTTTTTAAAGACAACAATATAATTTTTGTATATAATTTTACTTTTAACTATTGTTGTTGTAAGTTATTTAAAATAGCGTATTTCGAAACTCTTAATTATTTTAATTTGGTTTTAGAAATTTAATGTTTTTAAAATTTATTTGATGAATATTGTTAGTTTCTATGATTGTAGTTATTTAAAACAAAAAAAACATTGTTTTTGTTTTTAAAGAAAATATTATAGTTTTTTTATATAATATTACTTTTAACTATTCTTATTTTAATTCACAAAGCCGGTTTATAAGGGGCGGGGGGGGGGGGGGTTAAGGTTACTGCCTACAAAATGGTGGTTTAATGGGTGTCCACTCTCACCCACCGCTTCCTTGATTGGTGGAGGGTCGTTAGCCGAACGGGTAGGATAGGACATTAATCCTCATTAATAAGTATAATGATATTATAAAGTAACTAAACCTTTATAACTTCCCAATCTTAGTTACTTTAGGACAAATGTGAAAATGGTGCTATCCCATGGAAATTGCACTTTGCACCTTGCTAAGTCGTTAGTGGAGCGTGTGTGGTTAACCGTCATACTAATTTGGGGCTAGCAAGGGTGGAAAATGGTAGCTTGATGTTAATCATGGATCAATTGAGCGTGTGTGGTTAATCGGCACATTGATCAAGTGATTTGTAACATTAAGAGTACCAAGCAGATTTGCACGTTGTTGTTAAATTTGATATAATAATTCATATACTAAATTGATATAGTATATTGATTATTTTGAATTATTTGATAATATATACATCTATTATAACTGCATAATCTCAATCGTTTGAATGACTTTTACTCGCGAGTTACACATGAATAAAATTAAATATAATATATGGTTTAATGTTATTTATAGTTGTTGTTATTGGTAATTAATTCTTTAAAATTTATTTGCTTAATGTTTTAATTCCTATCATTATAACTATTTAAAACATCAAACATTGTTTTTTGATTTTAAAGTTAACAATATAATCATTTATATAGAGTTGTTTTTAACTATTATTATTGTAAGTTATTTTAAGCTACTTATTTGAAAACTTTTAACGATTATAAAAATATCTTTAGAAAATATTTTAGTTAAATAGAGATTACAATTTAGTTTTTGCATTTATCACTACAATTTATCACTTTTAACTATTTACAAAATATTATTTGGTTTTTTAAGTGGAACAAAAATTTATATTTAAGATGACAATGTAATGTTATATTTAAATTAACAATTTAAGTATTTTTACCAAACTGTGCAAAAGTTGCAGCTTTAAACTGATAATCGTTTATATACAACAACATTTTAAATCTAATAAATTAAGTATAATATGTTAAAAGTTATATACATAACTTTATAAGTAGAAGTAAAAATATTATTTTAAAATTGAAATTTAGTTTATTTATGATTACACTTTAGGTTTGATATTTATTTAACCTTATTAACAAACTTATACTCATTATTAGAAAGACACTACAATTGATCACTTTTAACTATTTACAAAATATTATTTGGGTTCTTTAAGTTAAACTAAAATTTATATTTAACTTGACCTTGTAATCTTATATTTAAATTAATAATTTAAGTATTTTATACAAATTGTTCCAAAATTGTATCTTTAAAATTATAATGGTTTACATCCAAAAATATATTAAAACTAATAAATTAAGTATAATATGTTAAAAGTTAAAAAAACATAACTTTATAAGTAGAAGTAAAGATATTATTTTAATATTGAAATTTAGTTTATATATGATTACATTTTAGGTTTGATATTTATTTAACCTTATTAACCAACTTATAATTATTATTAGAAAGAAATTGAAAAGTCATGGGAGTTTCAAATGAATGTGGTGAAAGGAAAAATGCATGAGAGTTTCAAATGAATGTATGGAAATATGAAAAGTTGGGAGTTTCAAATGAATGTGGTGAAAGAAAAAAAATGCTTCCTTTATAATATAGTATGATATGATGATATGATATGATATGATGATTATTTATAAATAAATTGTGGTTGTTTAAATATTATGTAATAACCACCAACTAATATGTTAATTCAACCACTTACTGACATATCATATTTTTCATCTACAATATAGGTTGAACTAAAATTGCCTGAAAAAGAATTTAAATGTTCATGCAATCATTTTATACGTACAAACATTTTGTGTCAACATATTTTTGTTGTTTTGAAGAACAACCATATTAAAGAGATTCCAGAGAAGTATATTCTCAGAAGATGGAGAAAGGATGCAATTTCCAACCATTTGCTTGCCATGAAACATGTTGCTATGGAAACAAAATATGACACCTTTAAACTTCTAACATAGGCTTACAGTAATATTGAATACTGATTGGATCATTTCAAAAGAATTAAGGAGAAATTGTTGGCTTTTACTGAGAACACACGTATCTTGAACATGCAACAATGGAATTTGGTTGTTCAAACCAATCATCATCTGATAATGAAGAAGAAGAAATCATTCGGATGCTAGGAATATGCAACATTCTTGAAAAAAAAAATATCCATCCACCTTCAGCAATACGTACCAAAGGGAGTGGAACTAAGAAAAGAATGGTTAGTGCCACTGAGAAAGTTGTTGCAGATCTAAAGAAAAAAACTAGAATTTGCACAGGTTGCAATCAATATGTTAACCATAATTGGAGGACTTCCAAAGTCAGACTTGCACAAAAGTCAAAACAACCTTAAAATGGCCCATTAATTTGCACAATTGATTTTCTTTTTTCTATTAGATTTATGAATAAGAAGATGGTTCTACGAGTCATTACGTTATTTTATTTTAAAACACTTTTATATCATTTTATGGATTTATTTTACATGTTTGTTTGTTGATATAGTATTTCATGTTTGGATTTTGATATATTTTTTTCATAACTTTAACAACATTCATTTTTCACCCTTTGTTATATTCAACAATGAATACTATTTAAAAAACATCAATGAATCATACTTTAAGTTACAATTTACTTAAACAAACCAAATCATAACAGAATAATGTTGTCAAAAAATGTTAAATACTCCGTTTGTATGTCAAATCAGTTTTGGTTTACAATAATTATATTTATCCATTTGGAAAATATAATTTTAACATCAATCATTGTCTACTATTGTTATTGTCATTTCAATTATAAAAACATTTCATTGTATTGATTTAGTAGTATATTATATTAATAAATGTTTGTTTGTAAAAATAAAAACTGAATGAATATAGGAATCCCAAAATGAATAATAATATGCAAAATACTTACAAACAACACAACATAAAGTAACAATAATGTGCACACGATATCAATCATGTTAAGCATAAATGTTTGACAAAATTTATTTCTTATTTAATTATTCAAAAATTAATGTAAAATTAACCATATATAAAAAGATGAAAATATTACTTATCATTCCATTATAAAGTAGCAAACCAAAAGAAACCATTGTACGTTCTACAAACAAACTTAATATTCTTCACATACAAAACCATTGTTTTAAAGATATCCAAAAGAAACCATTAAAGTCATAACTAATGGCATATTTTGAACATAATTAACTAAAATCATCCAATCTTGTGTGAATTTGTTCCTTTGCAATACTCAACAGTTCAGAGTGTTGTCTCGAAGGAATCTAGCGGAATTGATCAACCTTTTGAAGCATCAGATCCTTATGCACATTTTATTCATGAGTGATGATTTTGTATAAATATTTTGTCCTCAACTTAGCAAGTTGATCATCTTGTGCATGAGACTCGTTCTTGAACCCAACTTTAAACACATTCATACTTCCACCCATATACGTTTCCATGTGACGCATTGTGAACACATCACAATCAATGTGGTTGTTTATTGTTCTCCAAGGCCATTTCCAGTCTATGTGGCATCACATGTGAAAACATCTCAGTTTTTGGATGATTCTGAGATCTTAGGTAATCAAGGATGTATGTTTTCTGAAAATGTTAAAAAAATTTGTTAACATATATGAAATGTTATTTAATAATTAATGTAACTTTTATTGATCACTTACGATGATCTAGGGAAATTGACCATATATGACATCAATAGGATCATCAACGTTGCTGTTGTCAATGATTACAAACTCTGGGTGTTGTAGATTGATCACAAAAAGGATAATGTGGAAGGAACGGACAACCGGTAGGAAAAGCTGTAAAATGGATTAATTTAAATGTATTCATTTTATTTTATATTTATATATGATTATTAATAAATTAACACAAAAAAGTAATAATATGTTCAGATATATATCTTACCAATCCAACATAACGTAGGGTTGAGTCCATATCTTCAATAGAAAGCAAAAGATTCTCAAGGAATTTAGCTTTGCATTGACTTTCTGATAACTTACCTTCAAGATACGAATTCTATAATGTAGTTTTAAAAAGTCAATTAGTTTTTTTTTAAGAATTTGTATTTACCATATAGTTTAATCAACAATGAATATTAATGAAGTATACCTTCAACTCCATCTTGCAATAAACTCTCAGAGGAGATTCTGGTGCACGCTTACTTTCATCGAGATTCAACACTGGACTCCAACAATCAATAACATGACCAAATAGTTCACATGTAGGAAGAAAACTTTCCATGTGAAACCTCTGAACAGAAAAACCATCCAGACTGTGGAAAACTATATCACTGCAAAAAAACGTGACCACTTGTTACTTTTTTTAATATTTAACCAAATAAAGTAACTAACATTAAACATATGTTAAATGTAAATTACGTTGGCTTGCCTTGGAGAGAGAATATCCAGTCTGCTACACGTTTTTCTGGTCGTGGAATTCCTTTGGTGATATCAACATCACGTATAATGTAAGGATATTTGAGATAACCGGACTTCATGCGAGGCATGTCCCCTCTTCTATTAAACCCCTTCTGTTCATTCATGAATGGAACAATAGACAAAGGCATTGCTATTTCTATTTTAGCTGGTGATGTACTATGAGAAGACTTTCTTCTAGATCCATTCACGGAGTCTGCATAATCCTTTGACATCTGAATATTATAGTTTGCTATCGGTAAGTTGTCAAACTGTTTATGAGATATTGCAAGAATTAGTGAATGTTTGATTTCATCCTCGTTATCATACCACCATTGAGATTGAACTGGTTCATCTGATGTTGCAACTTCTTTAAATAGATCATTTAAGTTGTTTTTCCATTCTTGGACCAATGGATTATCGAGGTATTTCTTGACAGAATCGTTTATTTTATCTTCCAACACTTTCTTTTGATGCATGAGCATGTCGTGCATCTCCTTTATTGTTGAAAGAGTGGCCTATTAAAGTCAACACGATGTGATTATATACAAACCAAATAAAAAACATCAATATGTCATAACGTATTAATTAATACTATATTAATTCATCATTCACATGTCAATAAGTAGTAAACTACCTCAACTGTTTCACCACTTCCACTGAAATTTTCTTTTCCTTCATTTCCCTATGAAAATTAATAAATTAAGATTTTTTGAATTGAACATAATACTATATATAAATCATTTCAGATTATATAAGTTTACCAATATTAATCACCTTTTGAATTTAATAATTCAATACATGAATTTATTAGTTTAAACACTCAACATATTATTTATTAATGATTATATCATACTAATACCTTAAAGCATCCATGACTTAATTTCACACCTTCTCCTGCATCATTTGTCTGTCAATATGTATGAATAGAATTAATGTCGATTAAACAGAATAATCAAATATAAATCTAATATGCATTACTGAATATAATAAGATAGTACCTGAACTTTTTCATGAACTACATTACCAGTACCAACTGATTCATTGATGACTTGAAATGGTTCTTGTAATTCACCCATACCCAAACCTATTGTCCTACACTCGACTCTTTCTCGCTCACGCAGTTTATCAACATTCCAAAAACATATTTTTGGTCTGCCTCGTACAATCTTTACTGAATCACATCGTACACTTTCTACATATAGCAGCTACAATAGACACAAATAAAAATTTAAGTAAGTAAATACACTTTAATGAATTTGTACACATATTCATTTATTGTGAATCATTTAAGATAATGCATGTGAAAAATTAATATATTTTGAATGACATCTGAATTTTATACAAAATCTTACCAAAAGAAAGATAATTGGCCCAACATAGAATCCTTTTCTGCTGTATGGATTCCATGCACTTTTTGTGTCCTTAAGGCAATCAAAAACATATCCATACCAATCGATGTCACTTAGATCCAGGTCTTTTGTAACTTTTGATAACATGGAAAGGTCATATCTTCCCATACTCATTGACTGACCTAGTGTATTACACAGCAGAACAAAGATGTTTACTTTAAAAAGTAAATTTGCACGTGTTGTTTGCGTAATAGCCTGTTGAACTGCCCTTGGTCTAATATTATCTTCATCATCGAATTGTTTCCTCCAAGCAGTGATCGTGTCGTCTGTAACATGTCTATAAGCCATCGACTTTATTGCAACATTCCCTAAAGGCAGACTTAACAATTCGTGAATAACCTCCCGATTTATTGGTATATCACGATGATGAAGCCTGAGTACCATCCTATTTGCATCAAAATTCCTTACCGTATAATGCCCAATAATTGATGCATACCCATCCACTTTCATATTTAACAAATGCCCCAGACCAATAGAAGAAATATATGATTCCTGTTCCTCACTAAGGTTATGCATACAATTGTACAACACATTTGGTGATGTTCGTACTTGTATTCTCCTTGGTTCTTTTGCATTAGTATCTACAACTTTAGGCACTTTTCTTGCTTTCCCTACATTTCCTTTATTATTCTTTCGCCTCTTTTGTACAACTACATTTTTACTTAATTTCTTCACATGTTCTTCATTTTCATTTTTGAATGAAGTGCCATGCATCCTATTTTTCCTAATAACCACAGTTTGAGCATATTCAAAATCCGAGTCAACATCGACATCAAACTTATTGACCTTGACCTTACTTTTCAAATTATGTTCTTCTGTTAATACATATAAAACAATATAAATGATTATAACGAAATACCGAAATAAACTTCAAATAAATTTAATTTTAACTAATTCATTACTTGAACGTGAGTTTAAAACAACAACTTCATGACCCTTTCTTTTACAACTGTCAAAACGTTTTTTTGTTCTCAGTTCATTTTCCCTCTGTATTGCATTTTCTGGTGTCGGGTCTACACTTTCATTCCAACCTGTCAAGATGTAGTTAATATAATCATTATATAATACATTTGAAATACAATTTTCATGACATGTAATAATCATTAATACTTGTTTGTTTCTTTATTTTTTTTTCTTAGATGTTGAATCCAAGTCCTTATCTGCATCAAACTTCTTCACCTTCACCTTAGTTTTCATAGTTTCTTCTGTTAATACATATAAAACAATATAAATGATTATAACTAAATACCAAAATAAACTTCAAATAAATTTAATTTTAACTAATTCATTACTTGAATCTGAGTTCAAAGCTACAACTTCAAGACCATTTCTTTTACAACTGTCAAACCGTTTTTTTGTTCTCATTTCATTTTCCCTTTGTATCGAATTATCCGGTGTGCGGTTTACGCTTTTATCCCAACCTGTCAAGATAAAAAGTAACACAATCATTATAGATTACGCTTACAAATACAATTTTTAATGTCAGGTAATCATCATTAATACCTGTTTGTTTCTTTATTTTTTTCTTAGATGTTGAATCTTTCTTTTGCATTTGTCTTTTAATTCGAGGTTGTTCTGTTTCGTTTCCTTGATGGTCTTCATCTTCCATATCAATAAGCACCGGATTTGATTCTTCATTAGTGAATTTGCTGAATGTCGTCTTTAGTAATATCCTCTCGCTTTTCTTTCTACCTAAAAACAACAATAAAATAACACTTTCATTGCTTAATCACCAATGTATCCTTAATTACTACATCGATCATACATGATCACTAATAAACACATATTTAATGAATCAAATACACAATCATAGAGTAATGCCTATAACAATCAAAACTAAATACAACCTAATGAATGAATAATACTATATAAAATCATACTTTCCCCTTTAATCAATATTAAATACATATTATTGAATTAAAAAAATCATAAACGAATATAAAAGCAATAACAAAGGCTATCAATGTAATACTTTTACACTTAAACACCATTCAAAATCGCTTACTTTCATTTCTTAATCACCAATATATGTAACAATTAAAACTTAATAGTAAAGTATATCTAAGTTTTGTTAAACCAAACCAACAATGATTATCAAAACTTAATAAAACAGTATAAAACATTTGGTCATATACACCATTAACCATTAATTACTACATCAATCATACATGATCAATCATAAACACATATTTACTTAATCAAATACACAATCACAGAATAAAATGCCTTTAACAATCAAAACTAAATACAACCTAAAGAATGAATAATACTACAAAGAATCATACTTTCCCTTTAATCAATATTAAATACATTTAGTTCCTTTCATAGTTCCACAACACTAATCATTTTTGATTAAAAAAATCATAAGCAAATATAAAAGCCATAACAGAGACTATCAATGTACTACTTTTGCACTTAAACACCATTCACAATCGATTAGTAAAATTAATTATTCATGTTCTGTTAATCATCGACTACATTCTTTTGACCTTCCATAACAGAGTCTAAAATAAAAATTAAAAAACCCTAATTTTAGGGTTTTCACAATCGTGTTTAAATTGAAAGAAGTTATTGTTATCAAGTACGAATACACATTCAGAGACAAGAACGATTTTCAAACGTAATCATAAACGATTTTTCAACATTAAAATTGATATCAGACGCTTGAAAATTTGAAAAAAGCTACGATTATCAATTTCGATTACACATTCAGAGACAAGAACGGTTTTTGCGACATTTAACATTTCAACCACATTCACGTACGATTTTGCAACATTACACTTTATACCAGAGGCTATAACATAAAAAAATAAAAAAAAAAACCTAATTTTAGGGTTTTCAGAATCGTCTTAAATGTAAAGAATCAGAAGAATAAAACCTACGATTATACTCATTTTCCAGTTAAACACCATTCATAATAGATTAGGAAGCTTACTTCTTCCAGTTTTATTCATCATCGACGACATTCGTTCACCTTCAACCTTCACATACTCCACAATCGACAAAAGTGTTTACGAAAGAACAGTAGCAATCGACTATTGTATAAATGCCTATTATTGAGATTATTTTGCATTGCAGGTGAAGATATGATCGAATCCTCCCAAAGATAAGAGCTTAGTTGTGATTACTAAAACATATGAACAGTTTCTTTTAATTATATCACTTACCCGATATATTCAAAATGGATGACATCATAAAATTACTTGAATACCCTTTACTATTTTTTTTAATTTAAAATGACTTTAAAATAATTTATTCTTATTTTAAATTAATGATTAATAATAGCCTTAGATTTAGAAATTTTAATGTACCAGATTTGTTCTCACGTTCTCAACATTTTAGGTGTTTTCATTTGATCATTTACCTCTCTCTCTCTCTCTCTCTCATTCTCTCTCTCTCTCTCTCTCTCTCTCTCTCTCTATATATATATATATATATATATATATATATATATATATATATATCTTCTTATTTAATAAATGAAACCTTTTGTGCACGTGTCACTTCCACCAAACATTTTACATCAAAGTGAATTTCCAGTTATACCCCTCCTTCATTCAATATTCAATTCAATTCGACTTTTTTTTTATCTAAATCTGAATTCAAATTTTGAAATACAAACTCTCTCTTAAAAATCAATTTCTCTCCCCCTCATTTTTAATATATTGTTAAATGGGTTGATATAATTTACATATATAGTCTCTGATTTAATATCTTAATTGACTTAAATGGTCCTTATTTCATAGTTTTTCTAAAAAATATTATTTAAAAGTTTACAATCAATTTAAATTTTTCACAACATACTATTATAACACTAATGGTTTTCCAATTAAATTACACAAGTACTATACCTTATATTTTTTATTTGATACTTAAGAAAATGAAAGTGTTGAACTCAAATTTAAAAATTTAATAAACAATGTATAAACGTCTTAATTATTTATTTGTTTTAAATTTAATATACATTTATATATACATTATTATTTACAAAATAACTTTTTACTATCATGTTTTTAATAAACTACTTTAATAAAATTTTATAAATCTTTGATTTTCTATTATCATTTTTAATCAGCAATATTATTTTTCTTTCTTACCCGTGGTTTCCACGGGTTGTAACCTAGTATATATATATATATATATATATATATATATATATATATATATATATAGGGCTAGATTATTTTGTTTCTTACATTTATTGTGTGCTAGAATGCACCAATATAAATTTAGTAAATTAAATAATTATTTAATTAAATAAATATAGATATTAAATGATTTCCATAATTATATGTATATTAAATGATATCCATAATTATAATTCTCTTTTTATGGAAACTAATTAAATCCGTCATTAATGTCAGATTTTTTCAGAATGAATTCGCATATAGGTTTTTATATATGAGTTCGTATTTTGTTTCAGGACTCACACACTTAAAATACAATAAAGTTGCATGGAATATGAAAAACGAGAGTGTATTCTACTAGAACACACTCTCATTCTGCTGGAATACACTCTCATTCTTCTAGATATGAATTCATTCAGAAAGAATATTATTGTTGATATTAATGACAAATTTAATCAGTTTCCAAAAAAATGAGTTATAAGTATGGATAGCATTTAATATACATATAATTAATACTAAATTCCTATTGGTGCATTGTAGCACACAATATATGTGAGAAACATTTGAACCTACCCCTCTATATATTATATATATATATATATATATATATATATATATATATATATATATATATATATATATATATATATATATATATAGAGAGAGAGAGAGAGAGAGCTAGGTTCAGCTATTTAAAGTAATTATTGTGTTATTGTATGCACCAATCAGATTTTAGATAAATCAAATCATTTAATAAATAATATAAGGGTATTATAGTAATCTTATTATTAGTTAATTATGGTAAAATAGATATATAATTGGATATTAGCTGTATTCCTAGTGAATCGCAAGAAGCACAAATATATTTATCACACTCAGTCGGCATCAAGATTCAAAACCCTAAATTGAAGCCAGTATCGTTCCTGATCCACCGTCTGATCCTAAATTGAACATTCAGTCGATTATCAAGATGTAAATCAAAGTCAACATCGTCTCTAATCTACTGATTCTTCTTCTTCTACAATCGATTGTCAACATTCAAAAACCATGACCATGTGATGAATATCCATCTCGAATTAATCGGTAAGCTTTTTTTCCTTAACGTTTTTTTTCTTTAATCGATCAGTCGAAACCTTGACTGCCTTCCTGGTCGTGTCCGCCTCCAAGGAATTTAAGAGAAAGAAAGGTTACCGGAGAAATAGTTTCCGACGATTGATTTATCGGCGACTGTAGATGTTCAGTCGTTGTTTCTGACATGCACTAGCCTTCGTTCTATAAGCTTATCAAAAAACAAACTTTCCGATTCTTCAGTTTTGTCTGTTTCTCTCTCCAACTGTGCAAATATGGTCACGCGTAATTTCTCCGGTAATAAGTTCACCGAAAACCTTCCGAGCACTCTCGCTTCTTGCAAGTACCTTTCATCTCTAGACCTTTCCAACAACTGGCTTTCAGGTGATATACCTATTGGTTTTATCCCTAAAGGACCATTAACTCTTAAATTCCTTGAGAACCTGCCTCCAATTCAGTTCCAAATCAACAACCTCTTTCAATTCAGAAACATATCCATATCCATCGCATAATCTTTGTTCTTGTTTCTCAATATATGTTGGCAACTCCAAAAAGAACTCAAATCTGATGTTTGGTAATTGATATGAATTTTTTGATGTTGCTGTGATTTAAGTTTTGATGTTGCTGTGATTTTGATAATTTTTTGATATTGATTATTTTCCGATTCTATGCTATTCTGAATTTCTGATTTCATATGTTTGCTAAATTGTTATTATATTACTGTCATTTAATTTTTGATGTGACGTTCGCTCTTATTTCTTTTCAAATAGATTATGCTTTTGATTTCTGTTATGATTTCTGAAACAGACTAGAAATGGTCATTGGATATTTCTTGATGAACTTAATCTCGCCCCTTCTGATGTTCTAGAAGCATTAAATCGGTTTGTGTATTTTATACCATTCCAATTCTATCAGAATAGAATCACGAATTCAGATTCTATCGGAATGGAAACACGAATTCTAATTCTGTTGGAATGGAATATAAATATTTTCTCATTGATTATACAGGTTCTACAATTTTTGGTTATTGGTTTTGGTGCAGTTAACAAGTCCGCATATTTTTCCAAAGGAATATAGTTTTTTATTTATCATTTGCTAATGCGTTATTGGATTCTAAACTACAATTGGATTTGTTTTCACAGAAGTTGATGCTTGAAGAACGGACAACAAAATTAAAAGTGTTTCTTAGCAACATTATTCTTTTAGAATGAATTAGTGTATTTGTTAGATTTTGATGTTTTTTTTCTCGATTTGAAAGTTTTTTAGTTTTATTCTTTAACAATAAATGTAATTCTTAACAAATGTTACATGTATTCTATAAGAATTAATGTAATTTTTGTTTTAATTCTTCAATTGCTGGTTCGAGAATTTGTTATTCTACAAGAAATTTTTAAAGTCATGATCAAGAAATATGTTCAAGAATATTTTTATTATTTTATTGTTCTAGAATATTTTTATTTTTGAACATACTCAAACATATTATGTCAGAATGTCCGAATTAAAAACCTTATAATTAGTAAAAATCGGATTTTTAAAATTAATAGAATCTATGATCCCTTAAAATATGCAAATTTCCTTTATTAAATCTATATTAATTGACTAAAATACCCTTCTAGTTAAATTGGATGATATTTTTCAATTATATTTAATTCAATAATATGTATTAATCACTTTTTTAAAATAAGTAAAATGATTGGCCCACATTTATGTATACAATAACACAATAATTACTTTGAATAGAATAACCTAAGCCTATATATATATATATATATATATATATATATATATATATATATATATATATATATATATATATATATATATATATATATATATATATATCAATTCAATGTCACATATTAGTATTAAGCGTGGAAAATATTAGAAAAATTTACCACATTCAAATATAATAAAAACATATACGGGCAACATGTGGTCCCTAAAGATTTCAAAATTCAAACCAACAAAAAGCTATACAAAAGAAGTTTGGTTCCGTTTTTTAGCCTATTAAGCAGTGCGTAATACAATTTTGTATTTCATGAGGATAATGAAACTTCCGTATCTAATCTTAAAATTTAAATCTTAAAATGAAACTTTCTGATCTAATCTAAGAAATTTAAATCTTATCAAAAAACCAATCAACCTACCTGATTTATAAATATATGTGAACCTCCTTTTAAAGATTTTTTTTTTGAAAGAGCCAAAGCTCATCAAACTACCTCCTTTGAAAGATTGAAAACCCTAAAAACTTATACGCATTTCACCACTGCCACTGGCGCTCACCGGAGGCTTCGTTAAAAGCTCAAACTTTGCACACTTCAAATAACTTTCACCCTTTGGTAGTTGGCCATCGTCAGACCTCCGCCAGTGCTCATCGGGGATAAGATTTTGCTTACCGAAAATAAGTTCGGCTTGCTTACATATCCCTTCGTCAGGAAATAAAAGTGGGCTCCTTGTGTAGTTGTGGATCTCACTTCTCCTCCGCTTCCACCGGAAACAAGATTTTGCTCGGGCATCGTTCTCACCGGAAAGAAATTGCACTTGGTATTCTAATTTCACTTTCTTTATCGCTATCTTTTTAAAGTCTCAATAGTGTGAAAAGTAAGGACAAGAGTAATCAGTAATACGATTATGATTTGTTAAAAACTTCAAATCAATTGTCTGCAATATCTCAAAGGCTGCAAAAGTGAAAAAAAACTAGAAAAACATTTAATTATTTTACATAGATACTAAAGAATTTGAAAAAAACTTTTCTCAATAGTCAATACTCACACGTTATTGTGTTTTGTTAATTTATTGAGCGATTGAGAATTTATTATTATATTGTCTTATTTTAGATTGTATTTTTGTTAAACCATTTGTTTTTTTCAATCTATTTGTTAAAAAAGTTATGTCTTTTTTGAATTTTGGTTTCGGCCCCCTACTTCAAACGCTCGTGTTCCGCCCCTGACTCTTGTCCTTACTTTACACACTATTGAGACTTTAAAAATAGAGAGATAAAGAAAGCGAAATTAGAATACCGAGTGCAATTTCTTTCCGGTGAGAACGATGCCCGAGCAAAATCTTGTTTCCGGTGGAGGTGGAGTAGAAGTGAGATCCACAACTACACAAGGAGCCCACTTTTATTTCCTGACGAAGGGATATGTAAGCAAGCCGAACTTATTTTCGGTAAGCAAAATCATATCCCCGATGAGCACCGGCGGAGGTTTGACGGTGGCCAACTACCAAATCTTTAGGGACGACTTTTCATAAAAAAATATTTATATAAAAAATATTTGTCGTTTCTGAAAAGTCAATTTTCTTGTAATTAAATTAGAATAATTAGAAATTTATATAAAAAAAATATTTGTTAGATTTGTTTATATGGTAACATTTTTGTTTTGGAATTTTGATTTCCGACCCTAATTGTACTCTTCGTCTTCCTCCGCTGCGGCCAGGCAACCCATTTTTATATAATAGGCTTATGAAAAACATTTGGGCCCTACCTTGGGCCTGGTCTTGTACGCTTGAGTCTTGTAGTGTAGTGATATAATACTTTGTTAAAGGCTTTTCCTTTTTATTGATTTCTAGTAGATTTTAAAGTATTGATTGATCATGTATCCTTTTCCGCTGGCCTCTCACTTTTCTTTTATATAATCGTGCTGTTCCAAAAAAAATATACTATAGCTTGAAGTGATAAAAGTTAAACAACCGTGTGTCAATCGGTGCTTATATTAGTGCAAAAAATTGCGTCTCTTGATAAATTTGTTTTTTGTATGTTAAACATGTGTTTCTTTATCATATATATTTCCTTTAATCCATCTTACATGAATTTAACTAAGTTTCCTATATAGCAATATAACACTTATAACGTAGGACTAATCTATTTGGTAGAGATGGAAGCCTCTTCTTAGAAAAGAGGGTTTCGTGTTCAATGTGGGACATATACTTCAATGTGGGACATATACGAAATAACTAACTCAGTGAATTTAACATATAACCACTAACTAGCCGTTAAAAAAAATTATTTTATAATTTTCGTCATAGAAAGAATCATAGTTAACCATAAACATAGTTAACTATACATATACCCTAACAAACACGCTAACATCCATATATAAATACCTCACAGCCTCATGATTTGTTCAAGTAGTACTACTGAGAAGTTGCTAGCTAGGCTCGCAAGAAACAAAGATGGCTACAACAGGAAAGATAGTGCGTGAAGTTGAAGTGAAATGTCATCGTCACCAGGTCCATGGAGTCTACAAGAACAACCATAACGATTTGGCAGTCATTGCCCCAGATAAGGTTGAAGCTTGCCATTTAGTTTCTGGTCAATGGGATGCTCCTGGGTCTGTAATTCAATGGAACTTCTACCTGGTAAACTACTGATCACTACGACTACCTCAACATAAAAATTGTTCTATCTGCATGTTTAAACTAATTATAGGGTTTTTCCGTAGATGGAAAAGTGGAAACTGCGAAAGTAATCATTGAAGAAGTTGACGATGAATTTCACAAAATTGTGTACAAGGTGATAGAAGGAGCTGTGTTGGAGTTCTATAATCCCGTAATCCTCACTTTCAGTACTGAAGATAAGGGGGATAAGAAGTTGGTTATATGGACTATGGAGTTCGAGAAAGTGAATGCAAGTCTTCCTGATCCAACACACTATCTGGACTTGCTTTGTGCAGTCGTCGAAGATGTGGATGGTCATCTTTTCAAGTAGCTATGATGGAAACGATCAAAGGGTACTGGGTTTGCAATAAAAAAAGGTTGTTGATAAATAATGATAATAAATATTGGCTGCTTGTTAAGATATGTATTTCAGTATTTGTATTGTGAAATAGCCTGATGTATGGTTGTGTGATTTATAATTTGAGAACTTTTTCTAATTTCAGTTTATAATTACAATTATCACTACTATTTTTATTTTGATTACCTTTTTAGAGTGGAGAAAACGAAGTTATGAAATGAAATAATGGAAGCCAGCGAAACTTAAATTGCATTCGGTTCCAATGTTTTTAGGTTATTTTTAATAAATTTCACTTAAGGGAACAAATTCCTTTCTTCGGCTTGCTTAGGTATACCAGTCGTTCAACCAAGCTAATTAAGATACCACACTGTTTGCAAAGATGGGAATTCAAAGTCATTGATTCAATAGTGATATGTGGAGAACGATGTCAGGGACTTGCAATTAAGATAAGGTTGTAGATAGTGTATATTTAGAGAAAATATGAAGGACCCCTTGAGGGCTTAATTATGGTATATTGCATTGGTATACATCAAGTACAAAGACACGAAAAGTTTTTTAGGTCGTAATCTCTATACAATGTATAAAAGTGGATCAAATAAGGACCTTAGAGAGAAACCTTACAGCGGCGATCACTATTCCGGCGGGTTCCAAGCGCCAGAATCTCTTGACGTATTTTAAATTCTTCTTCCCCGAATGAGACATTGTATTAGGGATGACGATCTATAAGGATTATAAATGGAAATAATTAGGGTTAAAAATTTGATTGGGGAATGCTCAAGACCTAACCAGAGAAGCGTGGAAGAGTTTTATTTGCGGATGAGGATCTTGATGAACAACTAAGCTATGGAAAAGTATGTATTAACTCCACACTTAATGACCCTAATGTTCAGTGGCGAATCTAGAACAAAAAACAACGTGGTTCCTTATTTAAATGAAACTGAAAAAACTATGAAAGTGTAGGTATTTTAGCAAAAATAAGGTAGGCCCTAAATTTTTTATATATATATTTGTTGTATTGAAAATAAAAAGGTAGGTCCTAGGACCTACCTTGTGAATGCTTAGCTACGCCCCTGCTAATGTTGATAATCTTCTTGTTAATGTCGATGAGACTGAATATATTGTAGTTGTTCGGGAGATTGCTTCGTGGTGCCCCATGATTATTAACGTAGAGAGTAAATTACACGATTCGTCCCTGGTCTAAGTGCTAAATTGCACGTTTAGTCCTTAATTTCAAAATTAACTCGGATCATCCCTGGTATAATTAAAAGTTGCACGTTTCGTCCTTGACAGACATGAAATGACTATAATACCCTATTCTATTTATTTTTCATTTACTTTTCATTTGTTTATTATTTTTGATTTCTTTTTTTATTAAAAACAATACCCCCTACTGCTCCTTACCCTCTACTCTCATCCACCCCTAACATTCTCATACTTTTTTCTATCCTCGTGAAGAAGAACCACCAACAGTGTCCGGTGGAACCACCATCATCGTCATCATAATCTCCGGCGAGATGTTTGTAAAGGATTTCTGGATCTGAAGGATCGCCATCATCCCGTCTCCGATGGAACCATCAACGACTCAATAACCATTGCCGATGGAACCACCAAATCTGCAATCACCATCACACTAGTCTCCAAAGAAAGACCCAGCCACAGTCTCCACCATCACAAAAACCCTGAAACAGCTTGTCCAATCACTCCTCCACCACCGAGAATCATCGTTAAAACCCCTACAATTACTGTAGCAAAAATCGAACCCACAACCCAATGAAGAATATGTCGTCAATATGGTGATGGTGGATCTCTGTAAGCCTAAAATCGATTTTCTGAGTAACTTCTCATTCTCTCTGTTTCAGCAAATCGAGTTCTTGATTTATGGTTTAACCCTCTTTCTTGTTGCAACTGATTTTAGGGTTCCAGATGAATGGTTGTTGTCAATGGAAATAATTAGAAATAAATGGATTTGAGCCACTGGGTATCAACCATATCATGTTCACTGTCAATGGCAAGACGGGAAGAAACTAGATTCCATTAATGGCACTAACCAAGCTTCGATTTTAGATGGAATGTGCATTTTGGGTTTTAATGGAAAACAAATTTATTGTGTGTTTGTTTGTTTATGTCATGTTTGGAAAATAGGAGGGAGTAGTCTTTAATGGCTGAGATTTAACAGTCGGAGTTGAGCGTGGTGTCGGAAATGTGGCTGGTGGTGGTGCCGGGAAATGTATTTGATGAATAAGGGGGTGGAGGGCGATGGATAGGTGAGTGTAAGAGCTGGTGGGTCCCACTAAAATATTAATCACAATATTTCATTTCTTTTAATGTATAAATTGCAAAATAAATGTTAAAAAACTGATTAAGAAATAGAAAAGGGCAATATAGTCATTTTATGTCTGTTAGGGATGAAACGTGCAACTTTTAATCATACGAGGGACGATCTGAGTTAATTTTTGAAATTAGGGACTAAACGTGTAATTTGACACTTGAACCAGGGACGTATCGTGTAATTTACTCTAACATAGATGATAACTGCCCGAACATGTCTCTACAACATGAGGATAACTATGAGTATAAGGAGGACTATGGTGGAAACAGCAATGAAGAGGGGGATGGCTTTGTGATGCACAACTTCTTACCTCTGTTAGTAAATATGAAGGAGGGTTTGGTGAAAGACGTGTTAAGTGAACCTAATTAATTACACATTAAAAGGGAGATGGGTGAGCCTAAGGTCCAGTTTAATAAAACGAAAGCTCACTATGGGGCACCTTCGGCTCAATGGAGTGATATGGTGGATCAAGAACTTGTGGATGATTTGAGAGATGAACCAGAGGTGGATAAAAACAATGAAGTTATAAAGAATAAAGGTAAGTCGAGAAACACAAATGATGGAAGCGGACCTTTCAATGTTGAATTGACAAAGCAAAAGGGCGACAAGGAGAAATCTGGTTCGAGCAAGGCTGCTGGAAAAAGTGATTTCTTCGATTCCTTTCCCTCTGGGATTAACGGGAAAATATGCGTGTCGCCGATACATTCGACCTCTACAACAGTGGTAAATCCCAATGTTCTTTTTCATCTTCCACGTCTGTCCAGAAAGAAGTGAAGGTATGTATCGATTAGATACACTCAAGTATGAATAACAAAGAATAAACAAACAAAGCAATGATTAAACAGAAAACGGAAGAACACATATAATCACATATATACTTTCACTAAGAAAGAGGGTTCTTACAAAGAGAACGAGGTCACAAAGACGACACAAAGCTTACATTAGGGTTTCACCCTAATGTTAATTATATATGATTACAATAACGAAGATCCCACTATTTAGGGAATGTATACTAATCTATGTAAAGGTCTGATCCTAATCGCTAAGATTACGGGTCATACATCTATCCTATATATACAACGTATAACTGCCTAATATATATGATCCCCAAGATCATATAGTTCACGCTGACACTGCTCATTCTAGAGCTGGCGTTGGCGCTAGTAGTCAGCGTGTAGTGTTTGACTCATCAGATCATAAAGTGTGACATTACAAGAAGCACTTGTTAAGGAAGAAGATCATACCTATTGGTTCTTTGATTGGAGTGATGGATATGTATGTGGAGTTTGGTCATGTTCTTGGTTACGATTTTACAGGTTACAAGGAAGACATTGTCAAGGTGATTGAAAGAAATGGAGCAATAATGGTGGATAAATGAATATATTATCCACTAATCTTTGTGGATTCAAGAGTCGCATGAAGAGAAAGTGGATCAACAATCTTTGCATAGATCATATCATTGTAGTTTTGTGAATTCAAGAAACCAAAATGAGATGCTTAGATTTATTATTTGTTTGTGATTTCTGGGATAATCAGTTTGAAATGGCTAGTAATGGTGCTCAGGGTTAGTGTGTCAACATGTAAAAGTTCTATTAAGTTTTTTATCTTCAAAAATAAACTTAAAGGGATTATAGAGATGTCGAGGATTTGGCATATACGGGTTGCTGCATAAAATCGTTGGGTTAAAAGTTAAAACTGAGTTCTTGTAGAAGCTTTATGATATTGATGTTATCTTGGATCGTGTAAACTCGGATCCGGATTTGGGGGCGGCTAGAATCGAAATTGTTAAAAAACTGTAGTGACTTTTATTAAAAAGTTTTTAATTTTGCAGTGATAAGAACAATTTCAGATTTTCACTACCAAGTCTAGTGACACAAAAGACAACATTTATAACAACTTTGCATTGGGTCCACAATTTCGTAGTGACTTCATTGCAAAATAGGTGATCATTTTGAGGAAAATTTCAAATTTATGGTTATTATTAGGTGAACATCCGCGCGTTGCGTGGAAAAAATAAAATCGATTTAAGTTTAATAGAAAAATAAAAAATTATACTAATACATTTTATAATATTAACAATATTTTTAATAACATATATAAATCTACATTTTACTATAAAATTTTATTTATGCACAACATCGCCTAATTTATATGAATATAACAAAGATTATATGGATTTTTTAACGAATAGTCAACCAAGTAAATATTATAACATCTTAAAATTAAATATTTTATAGTATGTTTTTTTGAGACATATAAATTACACTGCAAAATCTTCTACCTAATACATATTAGCTAGGTTATCCAAATATTTTATATAAGTCAAAAGTGTATTCTAATTTACTTAATTAATCTAAGAAAGTAATTGATTAAATATAAAAGTAAATGTATAAAAACAAACTCGTTATAGTATTCTTGTTTTGATATTATTATGATATCTCATAAACAATATTCATGTATTTAACACGTATGAACATACAATATATGGGTGTACAATATATTATGATATAACTCTTAAAAACACCACATGAATCATATAAAATACATGTACTCTCAAAAGTAGAGTTTTTTCTTATATAAATGTACATATATTCCAAAATCATATCTACATGCTTCATCATTCAATGTAAATAAACGCATCCCAAAAGTAGAATTTGTGTTTTCTCAGGTCATATCTTCCCGTAGGGCCGGTAAAATTTTGAATCAAACAAATAATACGACCACCATTTTTTTTATTTTAATTCATCATCAACTAAAAAAATTAATTTGAAACCATCAAACAAATACCAAATAGATTCAAAATATTGTATTTGTTCAAATCTACATTTAAATTGAACAAGATCCATAAACAAGGTACGGCCCGCATATTTTATGAAACAAGGTGTGTGCTATCTCTAGAAGTCCAGCTTTGAAATATTCAAAATAAAAAAAAAAGTTATAAATTTGGCTCCTGCTTCACATCACATAAAAAAGAGCACAATAGTTTAGAAAGGATCTTAAGACAACAAATATCGAACACAAAAGATTTCAAAATTGAACTCACCCAAATCTATTTTCTGAAACAACGGATATTGAGCACAAATCAAATGCAAAAACTAGATACTTTGACTCTTTTGTATAATCAAATAGAGAAGAAACCGAACTGAGAAGAAATCAAATAGATAAGAAATAAAAACAAATTTCTAGAACAAACCTTAATAAAAAGATTTCGAAATTGAACTCACTCACTCGTTTTTTCTAAAACAGTAGGTATCAAGCACAAATAGAGGAGAAATCGGATTTATGAAATAGCCAACAAAAACAAATCACACACATATCAATGAACTAAAGAAAAAAATAAAGAAGAAATAAAATTTCCAATAAACTTTAATAAACAAATTTTGAAATTGAAGTCATGAACACATCCAAATCTGATTTCTGAAACAGCCAACAAAACCGAATCACATCCAAATCACTAAATCAGAAATTCATAATAGGACTTGCTGTATCATATTAGAGAAAGCCGGACCATAAAACCGGAGCAGATTAAAGAAATTGCTTCTCTATTGGGACTGTCAAGACTCAAGGCTCAAGTGTGAAGTGTCATCTGATAAGAATTTGAGATTTGAGAATTGAGAGTTATGTATTATCGACTTATGGACTGAAAGTGAAAAATAGAGAAATCTGTTCTTACTTTTTATTTATCGGAGATGTATTCTAGGTAGGCATGCTTTCCCAAGGTTTCTTTCTCACGTAGTAAACAAATCACATAGATGGGCTAAGTGTTTTTTTTTTTTTTTTTTGGGCCATTCTAATATATACTATAAGCATAGCTGGACTCTTTTGATGCCCTACAAATTTGCTACCCTGGTCCAAAGCCGAATTCGCCAATGTATTGGGTCGGGTTTGTCTTCCTCTATCTTGTTCTTCAAACTCTAGCAACCTCATTTACATATATCAACTATGTATATGTCTATGTTAGTTTATTAACCAAATTATGTGTCATCAATAATAATTAAATGTGTTAGGTTATAAAACTTTTGAGTTGTAGTAGTTAATTAATCAAAAGTTGAAGAATGTGGGCGTTTTGGTTTAAAATGTAAGTTAAAGAAAATCATTAAGTGGTCGTTCTTAATTATTGGAAAGTGAAGATTCATGAACGTTTCAAATGAATATGGTGAAAAGAAAGTGACATTTATTATAATAGATAGATATATAAATATAGATGTTAAACTCTTTTTTTCATATACCTATTTTTATAAAAAATTTATTTTAAAAAACATGATAGCTTCAAGTGATAAAAGTTATACAACCGCGTCTCATGCTTGTCAAAAAATTGAGTCGTATGATAAGTTTGTTGTTTATGTGTTAAACATGTGTTACTAATATTAATACTTGGTAAGGAAATTAATTTTTGTTTTAACATACATTTTTCATTAATCTTCCTATCTTCACATGATTTATAC